TTATTCAAACTCATAAGAAAGCAAGTTCTCCTTATGAAGCTGCAAATGTTGATCCCAGAACTCATCCATAAGATTCACATGTACCGTAAAGGAGAAAGGGCGACGCACTGGTGCTAAAAAGACTTTAGACAATCTTCTCTTCCACAGGGGAGTTAACGATCCGCTTCAGGTGAATTTTTTTCTATTTTTCTTTTAACATACTTCATGGATTGGTTCTGGTTATTAATGTGTTTGCTCAAGTGTATATATGTATTGTTGGTTCATATACGTAGAATGAGTGGCATTTCGGGCCAAATCCGCTTATCCGGGATAGGCATATGAAGAAAAAACCACCACCTGGCCGGGGAAAAAAGCCTCGAGATAAGAAAACAAAACGTGAGTTGTTTTCTTCTCTTCTGAATTAGTACCACACAATTCTTGGCTCTCATTTGTCTGATGTATCCTTTTGTTTGTTTATTTGTGTATATTAGGATGGCATAGAGAAGGAAATCCGGATGATGACTTTGGCGCTGATGCTAGTAATACATTTGAGAACAAATGGAGAGAAGGCTGGACAACTCAATCTCGTAAAGCCTCATATTCAAGAGACTCGACATCGGGATTTGAATGGAGAGAAGGCTGGAGCTGGACAACTCAATCTCAAAGGAGCAGAAGTTGGAGTGATGACTCTTGTGATGAACCTTCGATCATTGGGTCTCAGTCTGAGAGGACTGTTTTGGGTCTGCCTCTAGTTGGTCCCCTCAAATTAGGAGATGTTAAAGACGCGTAAGTCTTTTGTATTGATTCTGATAGTGGCCAAAATGTTTTAAAAAGTGCTCCATTAAAGTTTTCTTGTTTTGCAGCTTTCGAACTTCGGCTTTGAAGTGGCACCCAGATAAGCACCAGGGGCCTTCTCAGGTATGCTTTTTTAAACAAAGATTGCTGTGTTTCAGGTTTTTGTAGTTATGTGTTGATAATTATTTTCTGTAATGTGGTGGAAATCGCAGGCTGCAGCGCAAGAGAAGTTTAAACACTGCGTCGATGCATACAAGTCTCTCTGTTCTGCACTCTCTTGACGCATTAATGCATCATTTTTAATAGGTTCTTAGAGTTTTCAAGTTGGTAAGGCTACTTCTGAATTGATTTCCAGAGATCCAATGGTTTATAGTTGGGTCTGATTCATGAGAATCGACGATATAAGAGATTGCATTTGATTAGAAAAAACAATAATATGAGAAAGATTTTTTCTCTTGTGCATCTTTGAGCTTGTTATAAAAATAAATCACTTTCAAATCCAAACTTCATTTTATATTTTCTTTGTTTATTCTCTAATTTCTAAACTAATACAAGGTATTAAACGCATATCCAAGCTCTACGAATCATTCACTCATGTTTATATCATTATGAGTTCAAAACTTTTCCAACATTCTTGGATTAGCAAAACTTTTGAAGTCACCTAAACTTTGAAGTCCCTTTGGATAATAAAACTATGATTCATTGACTTCACACTGCTGGAATAGCAAAGCTTCCTACTACCGTCCTGTGAATAGTCTCTGCGTCCAGTGTTGTTAGTATCTGTGGAATCGACATACCACCAGAGATGACGATTTCTGTTTCAGAAAAGAAAGTTAAAAACCGAGCAATATGAGACCGATTTCATTGCAGCTAATGAAATAAAATTTGGAGTCAGGTAGATCAAGTTACCTATGCCTTCCCGGACTGAGAGATTAGGCCTTATAATATCCTTTGAGCTAATGAGGAAAATGTCTCCAAGATAAAGATGGTTTGTAGGGACATAGACACAACAGAGTTCTTCTCCACCAGCACGGCCTCGAAGAATCACAGTCGATGTAATAAATCCAAAAGCGTATTCTCCCATATGAGGATGTCTGATAATCGCTACCTCCTTGAACGCACCCGAGCTTTGATCTAGTAATAAAGAAGATTAAGTACTTTTGATGGTAAGTAAGATTAGGAATTTTTGTGAGTTTTTTACCAGGCGAGATTGCTCCGCTAATTTGTTTAGAAGCTGAGTAGATGTAGCTGATTAGAGGCATTTTCTTGATAAACCATTCACCAATACTGAGTACTGAAGCTCCAAGCCATGAAGACATGAATACACCAACAAGAAAAATGAATGTGATTGATGTCATGAATCCAAGACCGAACATATTGATTCCGAGATGTGTATAGATCGGTGAGAAGAAACCGTCAACGAAATGAATAAACCACCAAGTGAAGTAGAATGTGACGGCGATTGGAAGCAGAATTACACTATATTAT